CCGGCTAAAACATGCTCGTCCAAAAACTTAGATTCTAAAACTAAAGGAGACAGTGAGAGATCCGACTCTAGGATCGGCTCAACCTCGAGACTAGAGGCCTCTTGGTCATAACTCTTCTCTTGCGCGGCAAACAAACCGATGGTTTCCTAAGGAATATCCTTCACGTTACCCTTAAGTATAACCAGACATTTCCTTGTTCCGAAAGCCTGCTATACATTCAGCGCGCGTCGTCATAAGCATCTTGACGAGCCTCCCAGTCCCTGATGTTGTTGAATCAACGGTTACATTTTGCAATCATCACCGTCTGAACCCTAACACTCTCATGGGTGACTTCAAAACTTTGAGATTCTTTGAGGCGTTTGATCTCCCGCGTGTGCCCCGGGGAAGCTTCAATCTTATCATGCTCCAAAGAGATCTTTTCTCGCCAAAAGTCCTCTAACATGGCCCGAGCGGCTTGAAGCTCGATCTCCAGGCCATCAGCTCTCTTTTTCTGATCTTTCTCTTGATTAATCGCGAGATCCCTTTCTTGGATAGCCTTCTCGGAGGCACTTTTTACCTCCTCATTCAAGAGGGCAATCCGCTTGCCCCAAGATTCAGCCTTTTTCTTGGCCTTACACAGTTGATCAAACGTCTTCTTTAGGGCCGTGTCGTACTTCTCGATGAGGAAGTTTGTGTTACCGTCACTCTACACAAACATGAGAAGGTTATACCGAAATGGATCAAGGAGTAGAGAAGTATATTGGTTTACGAGAAAAAGAATTATAGAGAATGTCACGAGTTCTTACGAGGAGTTTGCTTCGGGCGACGTCGATGTACGCGTATTTGAACACCAAGTCATCCACTTTCGACAAGTCGACCAGCCTTGCCCTGATTTGACAGACCAACTCAGCGCAATTGATGTCGTTTTACACCAATGGAGTTGTGCCATTGTAGGAGAACTCGACGCGGTCACGGAATTCAAACCTAGGTCTTCGGGAAGAAGCTTCTCCAAAAGTATTAGCCTTTTTCGGTAACCGGAGCCATCGAATGCGTCGTTCCCCTCTTGCTGGACTCCCCGTTCTTCCAAAGCGAGTGCGTGAGACCCTCTCCCAATGGAATTCCTCTTCTTCTTTTTATTAGAAGGATCCCCAATTTTCACGTTTTCTCGGGTGATCTTCACAGTCACCCGCTCCGCAGATACTTGCTCGTGTCCCTATCCTTCGAGCAAGGAAGTTGTAGGAACAGTGTCACCTCATCAATTCCAGACTCTTTGTCGGCATACTTCTTCTTCTTCTTCCTTTTTGGAGGTTCGTCCACCTGCATTTTTGCCAACTCTTCACCCCCAAGTATATCTGCCTGACCACTTGCAGCAGGGTCGTCTCTCGATCTCTTCCTCCTCGTTTCCTCGGAAGTCTGGGTCGCAGCGATGGGAGCTCTTTCTGCGGAGTCCTAATCGACGACATTAACAGTTTCGTCGGGCCGCAAGTCAACATGACTTGACCCATCCAGTCCCATGCCATCGAGCATGTTCATCAAGCGGCCGACAAAACACCCCAGCTCTTCCTCGACAACCAAACTAATAACCGGTAATGCCTTCATTTTCCTGCTCTTCTTTATTCGAGCTTGCTCCTTCCTCATAAAAAGCAACAATCTCTTCTTCCCTAGTAAAACTTCAGCCGGTAGGTTCGAGATCCAGTCACCTACAGAAGACGAGACAAAGTTAGATGACTAAAAAGAATGCACAGAGACAGGTAAAGGAATACTCATGTCTCGATATTTATGATAAGGCCCGACGAATTCTAGCTTCACTGATATCTGGCCAACGTTGATGGCTGAGTGGGGCTAGGCTCGTGCTGTGTCAAAAAATCTCTCCAGGTAAGCAAGCGTATCTGGATGATCAACTGCGTGGCAAAAAGAAACAGTTAGAAAACGAAACATGTAATGATTAGGAAAAGCGGCGATCTACCGATATGTCAATTCCATAACACGCGAAAATCATCAAAAGGCAGCTCTTTGAACGCCACTTCATCCGACTTAATGTAGAAGTAATATATTTACTAGTTCGGTGTCTTGTTTGGATGAAAAGTGAGGATATTATAGTTTGGCAGCATCCTCACCCGTACAAACCTTTGTCTTCCATTTTCAAGAAGGTCAATTCCTTCCAGGCATGTACACTTTGTGACAAATCGAGATCTGTAGCCATCACCATCAACATGACCGCATACGGAATGAACAATTCTTAAACTGGTTGATTTCCACATCCCTAAAAAACACATAAGAGGTGAATAGTAGAGGATTGGAAACGAGAGCTTGGTATCATCTTGGACATACGACTCATAGACGCACTGGTACCCAACTGCAGGGGACCATGGTCGCTAATCTCCGTGGGAATGAGGAAAGTCACACCTACGACACTACGATCCCTTAGTAGCTTCCTCACGCCACCCAAAGTAGACCGGATATACTCGACCTTTGCCCACGTCTGTGCATTCGCGGGATGTAGCGACTCAGCGGGAATAGCCGGAAGTTCTTTGAATATCCCACCCGGATAATAGCAGACTAGGAAAAAGCCAGGGCAAGCCTACATACCGCCTCGTTAGTCGCTTTGCGGACTTCGTTTTTGCTCCTGATCAATTGAGCTGCCTTTGTGACAAAAAAACTGCTGCTGAAGATCCATGTTGAATGTGTCCATCAAAGCCGCCTGATGGACCTCATCGAACTGGTCAAGAGGATTTTCGTCCCTTATTACCTTTGACAAGACTGAATGTGGTAGCGACTGACTTCCCCTTCTGTTCACGAGTTAATCTCCTTCTCGGCGGTGTCATCCCTAGAGAACCTATCTATCTTACAAACAAATCTAGAGAGAGAAGTGGAGGGAGCAGAAAGACAAAGTACCTATGAGTGCTGAAGAAGTGAAAATGATGAAGACGGAGTCGGCTATTTATAAGAGAAGGTGACACGCACTTCCCGAGCCGTAATAACTAGGTATAGGTTGGCCTAAAATGGGCCTCAAAAACACTAATATTCACTCGCGATGCTTCGATTTCCCGACTCAAACCGCCATAAACCAGGCAATTGGTTAGGCTTATCTAGTAATCCCAATTCCGAGCGGTCTAAAGGAAACCGACAGATCGCGCGACAAGCGATCAAACCACAAACGTGTCAAGCAACCCAATCTGAGCGAAAAAGCGAGAATCAGATAACGGTGAATTACTCCACTCGTGCCAAAGCCGTCTATACCTTGAGCCTGTCCCACAAATTTACTCAGAAAGCCGACTTCGTTCACAAGTAAATTTGGGGGGTTACAGTAGGAGGTGAATTTACACCCTCCACAAGGCCCAGCAAATAGAAGGTCTGACCCAATAAAATTCACTATGTCGGCTCGGCTAGCGGCTAAAGCGCTCAGAGAGACTTACGTCTATCTTAAGCCGACGGAGCCGAATCCAAGTCGACGACTAACGACTAGCGGCTTGATCAACGTCCCATCATCTCGGCCTTATCCAGGGGGCCCATTAAGGCGGACCGGCTTAGGTTATCCGCATGAGAGCGACTATATAAAGGGAAGGGAGAAGACATGAAAGGGGGCAGAACACACATACACACACTTGGTGGCTAGAATTAGGGTTTCACTTCCTTTGTATTCTTGCCGACTTGTACTTTCCCGCTAGGTCTCCGAACACCGGTTTTTTCCACCGCTTGTTTTCCTATTTTTAATCGACTAAACTCTTTCACTCATCTAATAAACGTCTTTGAAATAACCTACCGATGATTTTCGCCCCTTTACTAGTTTTCGACCGAACTCAGTTCAAACAATAATGGCATGATTCTTCTCACGGTATTGTATGTTCACTCACTGTGATTTCAGTTGTTCATATTTCCATCACTATCTTAAGACAAATAAAAACGAATCGATATATATATTCGAATTACATAAATGAAAACCCAAGGATCAATGCAAAAGATAATATAATTTTAAAAACATAAATAAAAACTTACTGTTATAAAAATGGAAATAAATATAAATTAGTAGTGAATTTAATAGTTGTTTTTGTAAGAACCTAAAAGTAAAAATAATAATAATAATAATAATAATTAGATAATAAGAAGAAATTTTGAGTTCCAATTATCTTAAATTTGTTTGATAGAAACATATTAAAATTTTTATATTTATCTGATGATTTTTATTGCAATAATCTATTTTCTACAAATAAATAAGAATGAATTTTAACAATGAATTAAAAATATATACAAAAGCGCAGAACTTAAATGAAATTAAAAATTGCAAAATATCCTAGGCGTAACCCGAGAAAAATTAGAGTATAACAAACAGTTAACTGAAATGGTTTGATCAATGAAAGTATAAGGTGGTGTTATTCATTGTAGATGTTAAACTCAAATCCATAGATTTAAAATGTGTAATATTTTGAGTGATTCATTAATGATTTGTAATTTTTTTTTATAATCAATACCAGTGGATTTTATAATAGATAAGCTTCTAAAAAAATTGTTTTTGATTTATCAATTCAGTTATGTCAGATTTAGAATGATTCACTATTGATTTTAGGATGATTTACTATTAAAGTTATAGATTCTAATCTCGTACAAAGCACTATTAAAATTTATAACTATGAAAAAAAAGTTCAATTGTATCAAAAGCAAAACAATTATAAAAAAAAAAGCCAACGTAAGAAAAAAAACACATAAAAGTTCAAGAAAAACACTTCATTATTCCATACTACTTTGAATCCACCATAACCTTTCTTCCACCGACATTTTAACAAAAATGTCTTGAATTCCGAGATGATAAATCTGCGTAAGTGCTTTGTAACGAATACGGTCCTCCAAGTTTGATATTTCCTTTATAGCATCCCATACATTAATCTTTTTTTTTCTGATGCTTCTTTATGTTGTCTTTCTTCTCTTTGTTGTATTATATTCACGATCTGAGTACTAACAGCCATTGCTGGATTTTCATCTTTATGTGAAAAACCTCTTTCGGATCTTGCTCTTTTCTTTGGTTGTTATTTCTCTGTACGAGACTCTGGAACTGTCTGAGAATCAATTGTTGCATACTGTTCTGAGAGCTCATTATCACGAGTTGATGCAACAAACTCATATATGTTGTCTACATCATTTACATATTCTTCATTTGAATTTCCTCCAGCTTTGTATGTACGTGCATCAGTACCATCACCTAATCCAACTGCGTTTTTTCCAGTAGCAACACCTTGTCCGAATATGAGTTGCAAGTCCTCAAAAAATTCAAACGTATCACTACACAAATTTTTATTGTTTGGATGTGCCTATGAACAAAAAAACATCAATAGCATACAAATATGCTGATATTTACTATATTCATATTTTCATAGATGAAATACTTACCTTTAAATAATCATTCTAGACTTCATTTGAAGATGTAAATTTTTTGGTTAAAGGATCCCAACCGAAACCAGAAGAATAACGTAGAAGGTCAGGACAATTTTGATGTTGTAGCTTTAAATACTTGTGTCTGCTCTGATAGTTCTTGAAATCTTTTGCACGATAGACATCTTTATTGAGTTCTGGAAAAATCTTTGATTCAACAGTGAGTTTACTGAAAGAGCCAGAAGAGTCACGCCAGTTATTGTTAACTGCTTCCACAAGAAGTTATACTAAAATCCTAGTCTCGTCGTGATTCCATGAATTATAGTCACCTTTTTCTTTTTTCTTTCTTTGTGAATCTCCCATCTAATGAAAACATTATAAAAATCAAAATATCTTATCACTGAGTAAGGACAAGTAAGATACATAAACACCAAACGTCAATAACACATGTATAGCAAGTGTCCTCGTTAGAGATAGTTTAACATTTTATTAAAAGTCAATTAGATCCACTTTCTAAGATCACCTAAATTTTAAGGTAGTGACCTTTAATACTATAGTAAAAGAACGTTGTACAACCATAAGAAAAAAAATATGCTTAATGATCATCCATCTACTTCAAATATATATAATGCAAAATTATTTAAAACAAAGAACATAAGAAGAAAGAATAAGAATTTTCTAACCTTCTCTCTCGAGTTTAATGATCTTACTGCTAGAGAGATGGTCATGATCTTATATATATATATATATATATATATATATATATATATATATATTTGTAGTTAGTGTTTACTTTTTCTAAAGAGATAAACATGAAATTAATCAGATAATCATCATCAAGTTATTCATAAAGTAAAAATTTATGTTTGTGATAATATTGTAGTGTACATCCAACTTAACTATAAAATATTTAATTGATACTACGCTATCTGTCTTCTCACAATGCTAAAAACAAACTATAAAATATGAGATCCTAACCATGAAAAAATAGCCGAAGTTTATCTTGGAAAAGTTGACGAGTTTCTTTTGACAATGATAAGCTTTGAATGTTAATGGACCATATTTGGATATTGTTAAATGCTTATATGTAACATTTATTGATATCATGTAAATTGGGGTTCCCTTACTGTTGAAAAAACAAAAAAAAAAAATCATCATAGAAACTTATGTGTCCATAAATGGTTCCAAAGCATGAAAAAAATTCCATAAAAAAATAAAGAAAGACTAAAATAAAACCATAAACCTTACGTAAAAGAATGTGAGAATCAACTATCTTTGGCTACCAATATTAGTAGCATCTCTCCACATATTAGCAGTTATGGTTGCTCTCCATTTCCTTGCGTTTTCTCTTTCTTGTTCTTGAGTCTCAAAATTTTCTTCAGTACCATTTTCTTCCAAAGTTTGATTCTCATATTCTTCATCTGATTCTTCATCTGATTCTTCCTCATCACTGAAAAATTCATCTGAATGACACTTTTTGCGAAGAAAGTTGTGTAAGGCAGCACATGCAAGAACCAACTCTGCTTGAGTTTTGAAAGAAAATGGTGGTGCAGATTTAAAAATCGCAAAACGAGATTTAAATATACCAAATATTCTTTCAGTGACGTTTCTTAAGGACGCGTGGCGAAGGTTAAATAGTTCATTTTGATTTGCTGGATCACGCCCTTCCCCTCGGAATTCTTGTAGATGATACCGAGTACTTTGTAGTGGAGCTAAGAAGTTACGTCGATTTGCAAATCCACAATCAACTAAATAATATTTTCCTGGAACACCAAATTAAACACATGATATAACACACTTAATTTAGAAAATATACGATCAACTATTATCACATAATATATATAGTTGGATGATGTGTGAAATTATAAAGTAATCATTTATTATTGCTAGTCAAAAGGGCATTGACGATGATATCTTGGAGTCAAAATAATTTTGAAATTGATAGAATACATACCTTCGTTGGGAATCTTGTGATGAAAATAAACACTGTGAGATATTATTATTGAAAATTGAGTCAGTAGAAAAATTGGAAAATTTGCTTCATCATGACTCTGTTTTTTCAAGAACAAGAAAATGTGATGAAGAAGAAAATATAAAAATGACACACGTAAGAAAAGGTGGGTTGATAACTCTGAATTTGCAACTGAAAATCTTTGGGTAAAGCTTGGATTCTGTTTGCTAAAATTTACTCATAGAAGTAATATCAAAATCATTCAACTTTTTTATAACTCTTTTTATCTTGAAAATCAATCCAAATATGAATAACACTGAATTTTAAATCATTATTTCAAATCTTAGATTGAATAACCACAAATTTTAAATTCTTATATTAGTGATATTATAAATACAAGAATCAATAACACTAACTTTAAACTCTTTCAATAAAAATATTTTAAATACAAAAACCAATAACACTAGATTTAAACTCTTTCAATAAAAAATATTCTAAATACATGAATCAATAACACTGAATTTATCAAAAAGAATTAAAATCAACTATTGAATAACAGCAAATTGTTCTTAGATTTATATTCTATTCAAATCCATCAATGAATAACACCTCCTAAGTTTTATCCATGTTTGACTAGAATTTAAGGATTAAAATGGCATGTTTATGAGTTGAAGATTTTTTTTTTTTACTTATTTTTTAAGTGTTTATTTTGTCAATTATCCCAAGTCGAAAATCAATAATTATATGAAGGGTATAATGGTCTTCGCAGCCTCAGGATTACGACAGCCCTAATATTTTGGTATATATAAAGCGCTGAAAAACCCTTATAAATCCTCTATTGTGTAGTCTGCAGAGATTGTCACTGCTTCAAGACGGCTTGCTACTTTCACGCATCTCATCTCTGCAAATCACAATGGTAATAACCATTTTGCTTTTATGTAACGTAACTTTCTCGGTCTGCAATTGAAATCCGGCTTATAGATTCGTCTCGTCTATTCAAAATCTACTCGACTAAGGAAGAGTAGGAGCTAAGTCGATCTTAGGTTGTATTAGTTTCTGAAATCTGTAATCTGTTATCGCGAGTTTATTACAAGGAGGTTTGAAAAGTGTTCGTTCATGTGAAATTTCTGATTTGATGATTGAGATGTTGTTATGTTGTAGTCTTTGGTCGCAAACGAGGAGTTTCAGCACATTCTCCGTGTGCTTAACACAAATGTTGATGGAAAGCAGAAGATAATGTTCGCCCTTACCTCTATCAAAGGTATTGGGAGGCGATTGGCCAACATTGTCTGCAAGAAGGCTGATGTCGACATGAACAAAAGGTTCGAGCTTTTGTCTCCTCTCTTCTATGATTCCCTGTGTTTTAAATTACAGAATTGTTAGCAATGCTTTTTTTATCAGTGATTCGTTTTGAAAAGTTTTATGCCTTCTCCTCTGTAAGGTCTGGATGATACCGTTTCTTGTAATTTTAGATTCCTGTTTAGTCCTATTGATAAATGTAATAGTTTATTGTTGGTCATTTAAATGCTCTTTTGAATTGTATTGATCTTCTGTGAATGCTAGTGTCTCATCAATGATTCGTTTTGAGTGACTTAGTTTTCTCCTGTGGTTTAGATGATACCTTTTCTGTTATAATCCTAGTGATGCAAGCATTTATATAAAGAATCGGCTTAGCCTCGTATCCAAGTATTTAACTTTAGCAATACCTGAATGGATCTTTCCTAGATCCTTTTTATTGTTGGCTTACATGATTTTTTCACAGGGCTGGTGAGTTATCTGCAGCTGAGATCGACAACCTGATGACAATTGTGGCAAACCCGAAGCAGTACAAGATTCCAGACTGGTTCTTGAACAGACAGAAAGATTACAAAGATGGAAAGTACTCTCAAGTTGTCTCCAATGCACTTGACATGAAGCTCAGGGATGACCTTGAGCGTCTCAAGAAAATCAGGTAAACTCATTCTGATCCCGTTCACCATATTAACTTGTTACCACCGTGTGTTCACCTGGTGTTTGGGTTGAGTAATAGTAATGTTGGTTTTGCATTTTTACTTACAACGTGCAGGAACCACCGTGGTCTGAGACACTACTGGGGTCTCCGTGTTCGTGGACAACACACCAAGACAACTGGTCGCAGAGGAAAGACTGTCGGTGTGTCAAAGAAGCGTTAAGCGAGAGCGTAGTGTTTGACTTTATTGGATATGCATCACAAGAACCGGTTTTGATTTATGTTTCTCCTTTGAACTAGTTTGTGAGACTCCTTTTGAATCTAGTTCTCAGACCTTTACTAGTTTTTGGAACTCCTTTTGAATCTAGTATTATGACCTTTTCGATCTTGTGATCTGTTTTCGTGTGCCATTTGTTACACATGTGCCTGCTTTCTTTAATAGTAGCTTTTATTGTGGCTTTGAAGTGATCACAGATTAAACACAGTTTAACTAACGGAAAAATAATGCTAATAAATCGGTCTAGGTATGTATACAAATAGTGGACTGTTAATGAAATTCATGTCTCTTCCTCTTCTTATCGCCTGGCTTGGATGGGAATTACCAGACCAAACCATTTGAAGCACTGCAAGAACTAGTTGTAGGTCTACAAAGAATAGCAAGGGTCCATGATCTTCACGTTTCATTCAACTCCATATAATGAATTTGAGTCTTTCATTAGCTAGTTCAGTTTAGCTCATTTATTATATGAGTTTCAATATATAAATTCGAACTAAGATCATCTTAGATCATGAGTTAAATGTGTTAAATCGCAAACCAATATAAAATAATCAAAAACTAAAAAAAAATAATAAAAAAAATATAGATTAAACAATTTTCATAATATAATTTTAATTTTACATAGTAAATGTCCAAAACATTTATATTAAATACTAAATAATACAACACATAATAATAATTTAAAACAAAATCTAAATCGATGATTCACAAATCTATTCCACATAAGAGTCTTGAGATAATTCATCTTCAAAGTCTCCATTTATTCAAATAATAATGATATATATTATGCATGAGAGTCTTATGAATATGTTGTTTTAAATTTATTTCTAAATATATATGATATTAGAATTGATATTAATATTCTTATACATTTTATATATATAAAAAATTTGGTTTTACATTTTAATTTTAGAAGATAAATATGATTGATATAGAAATATTTATTTAATACATAAGAAAAATAGAAGTCATTCATACACACACACACATATATATATATAGAGAGAGAGAGAGAGAGAGAGTTACCATTAATACTTAAATCTAATAAAACCTCTAACTCAAGTTTGAGCCAAAAATTAATTAAATACTAATCAAACCATGTCGTTTTGCTTTTAAAAATACTTGAAACATCTTTTGCGCGAGCCAGAACTCCAAATTGACTTCATTTTCCTCATTTTCGAGTGAAGAAGATGAAATTGATTTGGGACTTTGATTTCGCGAAAATATGCTTTAATTGTTTAAAGAAACAAAACTACGTCGTTTAACTATTTTTTAAAAAGAACATCGTTTAGAAAATAAACAATCATCTATTTTTAAAAGAGTTTAACAGTTGACGCTAGCTGTTAAAATTACGACCATTGCTTATGAATATATGTGGTTTGAAATTAAGAATGGGAGATCTGTCTTCTTGGTTTGATGATTGGCTTGGTATGGGAAAATTGATGGATATCACAGGTGAACTAGGAACATGATACCTTGGAGTTTTGCGTTCTGCTACGCTTGCTGACACTGCTGGTGAGTCCAGTTGAAAGATCTGAGCTAGAGGACAGCCTATATACCCTGATTTATATGCCAATATCGCTATAATTACACTTACTAACCTACATTCTGGTACTGATAGGATAATCTCGAGGAATGATAAACATGAGTACACAGACAGTTTCTCCTCAGACATAACTTAGAACTCTCTGAGAAACAAGAAAGGCAATGTAACATGGCGACATCTGGTGTGGTTTAGTCAGGCGGTCCCTAAACAATCGTTTATGGTCTGGCTTGCTTCCACAATCGTTTGTCTGCATGGGACAAAATGAGGACATGGAGAACTGAACAAGGATGCATATTATGTGGTGAAAGAAATGAGACAAAGGACCATCTATTATTTACATGTCCTTTTTAATTTACTGTGTGGATGAATATAGAAAGGAAGCTAGTTGGAGATACCATTACTGAAAGCTCAAGAATCTGGAGCTTGAGAGATTGCTGTAGTGGTGAAATTTTGGTTAGCGTACTTGTGTTACACACAGAGAATGGTGTGTGACACACGCTTCGGAGAATAAAAAAGATTCGACAAGATGCGTAGAATATTCCCATATATTTGGCTGACGAAATATGTATTAAAAAAGGATTAGTGGGCTTAATGAGCTAGGGTTTTGCTTATTCAAGTATAAAGAGAACAACGCATGATAGGAAGCGGCTGCGCGTTTAGAGTTTATTAAAGATGCACATGGATGTGTGTGGCATCGTCCTACCAGACATATTGAGATTTGTTGGTAGTTTTGTTATGGAGAACTATACTTGTCAGAGTAGTAGTTCTTTTTTCATTGTAATTCTAGATTAGAGTGGTATGCACGTGTGTGTGCTGGATACCAAGCAACGTTGTTTGTGTTCTATTCTAGTGAATGAGTTCTGGACGTGGTCCCGGGAATGTAGGAAACAAACCTCGTTAACAAATCTCTATGTGTTCTTTACTTTATACTCTTACATGCTTGCATACGAATAAATCACACTCGATCATATAGGTTTAGCCACATACCCTGTTTTCACAATTACTCCCAATTGGGATGAAACGATGACGATAAAGGATGCAGTGTTCACACAGTAGGATCAATACAATTCTTAAGAGGATGACTTTTCAGACAGTTACTTACACTATATGGAAGGAAAAATATAGAAAGGTCATTGATATACCATGTATTTTACCTGTTTTCACCCATGGTATATGTTCTCTATTAAACCTATTATATGGGTTTGGAGTATTTTTTAGAGTGTTTTCAGGTTCAGGTACGTTCTGGAAATCTTTGGTGATTTTGGAGCCTATTGAGATGTAGAACTGCACAGATGCATCGGATGGTTAGCTGTGGATGAAGATCTTCCCACGGTGTGATTGAGCCCCTTTTTAGACACAAGATAGATATTTGCATTAGATTTTCAATGCCACCGGTTTGAGGTTCATCTGACGGTTAGATCTAAAGTTATGATTATTATCTAATCACTCTATAGCACCATTCTTAGACTTACTAACAGCAGCGTGTACTAAAGATACTAAATTGGATCACCCTACCATTAGATCACACTTGCTAAAAATGTTTGAAGGAACCGAAGCTGGCCTCCAACCTAATCTGACTTATTTTCTTGTTTCGAGGCTTGGTATACATTGGATCGGATTCCTTCTAAAAGTCTAGAAGGTAAACATTTGTGTGTTTCTGGCTGCTCTCTCTCTATTTGGCATCTATAAAAGAAAAGATTGAGATGATTTCTTGAGATATAGAGGGGTAAGTATATTACCGATGACCTCACTATTCTAATTCAAAAGAATGATCACACATTGTGGAAGCGAGGGGTAGGTACATTACCGATGACCACACTATTCACCTACGCTTTGTCAAAAGAAAGAAAAAGATGATAAGGAAGCTGGACTGTAGAAGCACTATTGAGTCATTGGATTTACAAAAAAACAAATAAAAAGAGATTCAGAGAAGAGGGAAAAAGAGGGAAGAAAGAGATCAGAGAAGATTGCCTATGTGTTCAGAAACTTGCTGGTGAGTCGATGTATCCTCTGATCTATACTCCCAAGGTAAAGCCTGCACTTTTATTTTATGCAAGAATTAGGTTAGTAGAGTGGTGAGTCAAGCTAGTATTTGCTAAGTTTCTGATAGAATGAATGTGGTTGCTAAGCTAGGATATGGTATATAAAGTACCTATGAAGCATTTATTTGATGTGGCTACAACATAGTAGAGGTGAAGGTAGCCCCTGCGATTTCAAAAAAATTCAGATGGTGATATTCTTTGCTTGAGAACAATCAAACTGATAAGTTTGGGGGGAGTTGATCTACCATGGATTTTACATGTTTTAACCCATGGTATATGTTCGCTTTTCAATCTATTATATGGATTTGGAGTATGTTTAGTGTGTTTTCAGGTTCAGGTACGTTCTAGAGAACTTTGGTGATTTTGGAGTTTTTTGAGGTGCAGAACTGCATTGATGCATCACATGTTTAGCTATAGATAAATACCTTTCCACAGTATGATTGAGCCCATATTTTGACACGAGATAGAGATTTGCGTGCCACCGGTTTGAGGTTCATCTAACGATTAGGTCTTAAGTTATGCTTGTTTTATTGAAAAATGACATGTCTGCCTCGCGAAAGGAAGTTGCGAAGGAGATGAAGGAGCGTCGATCGACGGCACAGTCTCGTTGTCGATTGTCGATGATCCCAGAATGTGGGCTGAGCCTTTTTCATGACCGAATTGGGCCCAGAAATCACCAATTATTACAGAATGCATCTGCACGACTTTTAACCTTATTTGTGTTTTCTAAATCATTGTTGATGGCTACGCTTTCTTTACTTATTTTTTTTTCTTAGTTCTATGTTAGGAGAGAAGAGAGGAACTCCTTCAGAGTCTTCTTGGAACTCCTTTGGTTTTATTATTGATTTCTATCTATTCTTTTCATCTATGATTTTTGTGATAACTATCATGTCTTAATAGATCTCCTATAAGGTTTAGGGTTTATTAATGGTTTTTATGGATTAGCCAAAAAATAGATTTGCTAGGATTATTATTAGATCTATCATTAGTAGATTACTTAATGCTTGCGTTCTAGCGTAATTACATAGAACTATGAACTAGGATACTGAGAATAGTATGATTGCTTGATTAATACCTGAATAATCTATTGTGAGTTTAGAAAAAGATACATGCGAGTGTTAATTTAGTGGTTCTATGTGATTAACCGAATCTATTGAAATTAATGATTTACTTAAGAAAGTCATCGATCGATGTCATCCACGTACCATCGGTCAACGGTCAATCTGACTAATATATATGGTGTTTTTAGCATATTCTAACAATGTTTTCTAAAGTGTTTTTAAGTCTTTATCGAGTCTTTTTAGTTCTTTTTAAGTCATTACAGGTATAGAGTTGCATTTGGATGGAAGATGGACAAGTTGGAGAAAAAGATTGCAATTTGATGATTTTCACGCGAAACAGTCTCGCGGAACAGCTGTTCCCGCGGCAGAGATTTTTAAGGAAATCTTAACTTTATTTCGGGATTTGCCCTAATTCTCCTATTTTTCTCTCCCAGCCGCCAGCAGCCTCCATATATCTTCTTTTCCTATTTTCTACAATATACTACGCTACTTTTTACAGAGAGACAACTCTAGAGCTTTTGGATTA